TGGAGGAGGAGATGGCCATGATGATGACCTGGAGGCGGAGATGAGATCGTGGAGGAGGGGGTTGATGATGACGGCTTGTAAAGGATGGGTTGATGGTGATGAGGTGGCGATTGGGGTGAGGAGCGGTGTGAGGATGATGACGTGGCGAGAGGGGTGATGATGATGACGTGGTGAGCGGGGTAAGGATGATGACGTGGCGAGTCTAGGAAGGACGATTAGGTGCAGAGCGGGGTGAGATGGCTATTTGATCACGTGGCAGCGGGGTGAGGATGATGACGTGGCGAAACGGATGATGATGATGATGATGATGATGATGATGATGTTGATGAAATGAATGGGGAACGATGATTTCAGCATGGAGGTGACATTGAGGGAGCAATGGGGATGATGGCGTGGTGAGCGGCTTGACAGGCTGGCCAAAGGGAGGAGGATGTGATGATGCCAAGGCGGAGAGGGGTACAATAGCGACGTGGAAAGGGTGATGATGATTACGACAGTGACGATAATGATGAGGATGACGTAGTCGAGGGTCTAATGATCATCTGAAGGAGGTGATAAAGAAGGTGATGATGATGATGATGATGATGATGATGATGACGATGATGACGATGACGATGATGATAATGGGGATGATTACGTGGTGAGGGTCTAGTGATAATCTGAATGAGGTGAAAATGATGATGATGATGATGATGGTGATCGGAGTGAGAAGGTTGACCACCGTGATGACATGGAGGAGATGATTACAATGACGTGGAGGGGATGATGGCGATGACGTGGGTGGGTCATCGCGATCGCAGTGTCATGGGACGAGATGCACCGTCGCGATGACGTGGAGGGGATGATCTCGGTCGCGATGATGTGGAGAGGATGATGGCGGTCGCGACGACGTGGAGCAGAAGATCGGGATCGCGATGCTGTGCAGGGCATAATCGCGATGATGTGGAGGGATGGTCGCAGTGACGCGAAGGGGATGATCACTATGGCGATGACGTGGAGGGGATACGATGATGAGGAGGGGGTAATCACGATGACGTGGAGGGGGTAATCACGATGACGTGGAGGGGATGATCGGGATGACGTGGAGGGGATGATCGGGATGTCGTTAAGGAGATACATGGTGGTTATATGAGACCCAGAGAGGGGATGATGATAATGAAGAAGAGGTTGTGATCATTAGTTGGGGGTTTGATGATAATGATTAGTTTGGGACAGCGATGATGACATGGGAGTGGAGCGGGGGTTGATGATGATGATGACGACGATAATGATGACGATTACGTGGAGATGCGTAAAATTGGCCACGTGATGGGGTAGAGGATCAAGTGATGATAATCACGTGGAATGCATCTGATGCGTATGACGTGGAGCTCGGAATGATGAGCTGGATGACGTGGAGGAGTGACCGATGAGGATATGGGGGAAGGAGGGATGGTGGCGATGACATAGCAGAGGCGCGAGTATCGATGATAATGATGGTGACGTGGACAAGTGCGGATTGCCACGTGTCTCTCATCGTGAGAACGCTGTTAATCAAACCCATTACACAACGAACGTCGCAGTAATTCAAAACGAAAAATGTAATTTTTTTTTATTTTTTTTTTTTTGGGACACCATTTCTCGGTATTTATGCGTGTCATCCCGCACGGCACACGAAACGAAAACGAGAAATATGCGTGTGCAGGAACCATATGCGTGTGCTGGGGCCAAGTCCCACTAGCAGCGTCGAGCTACCTCAACGCCTGAATCTGGACGCTTTTGTGGAGATGTGCAGAAATGGTATTGAGTTTCCCGAACTGCACGTCTCCACAAACACATCCAGATTCAGGCGTTGAGGTAGTTCAACGCTGCTAGTGGGACTTGGCCCCCGTGCAGGGACCATATGCTAATCTTTTTTTTTTTGGGACACCATTTCTTTGGGGCACCGTTTCGTGTGCCGTGCAGGGACCATATGCTAATCTTCTCTCTGGGTCTCGCCGCACGGCACACGAAACGAAAACGAAACGAGTGCATCTGCCCACGAAAGGTGGCAAAATACACTCGTTACTATTTATAGCAAAATGATGAACCTGGCCATTTTCTGCAGGAAGATGCACTCGTCTCGTTTTTCGTTTCGTGTCCCGTGCGGCGACGCCCTGTATCATTCCAATTCCAATTCCAATTCCAAAAGAAGCCACGACGCAGCGGGCCTACCCCTCTTCCCCCGAACACAACGCACCCTGATAACGAATGTATACAAGCTATGTTTTCGGTCCGATGCGGCCAAAAAGAAAGAGGGGGCGTGTGTTCGGGGGAAGACGGGTAGCTCAATTAGTACGCCCGATGAACTGTGGAATGTACGAGCGCGAGCTCGAATCCCCAGGAGCGTGGTCCCACTACCAAGCAAAGAGGATCGTTCGGATAAAATGCCTGAATCTGGACGTGTTTGTGGAGAGGTGCAGGAAATCGAGATTGAACTGCTTTTCTGCATCTCTGCATAAAACACGTCCACATTCAGGCATTCGATCCGATCCTCTTTGCTAATGGGACTCGGCCCAGATGTCACTGCTTGAACGAATGTCGGAATTACGTGCCGCCGGTCTGTCCCACTACGACATCTCACCTTCTAGCCAGCGGCCTACCCTTACCCTTCTTGACCCGATACAACGTATACGATGATTACAGCTGTATTTGGGTTATCTTCCGTCTAAATACAGCGATGATGACCATCCGTTGTATTCGGGTTAAGAAGGGTAGCAGCTCAGTTCGTAGGGCATGCAAGTGGCATTCACGACCTCTTGGGTTCAATCCCCACTGGGCTCAGGTACTTTGCTGGGCAACCTTGGTGCCCGCCAATTAGAGATAGGCCATTGGTCCTTGGGAGCGGCATTGAGCAGAGATTGCTGATGTTTGTAGGGGGAGGGGGCCGGAGGGGAGGCACAGCGACTGACCCGTGGAAGAAGCTTGGTCCTGCTGCTACCGGCTGACCCCTGGCCTACTGGCTGACCCCTGGTCGGTATTGTCCACACGCAGGGAGGGTGCACCCCCTGGATGCTCCCCTGGATGCTCCCTCGTTGGAGGCTTGAACTCGGGCTGGCTGCTACCGGGTTCCCCGTAATACTATACTATAATGATAATAGAAAAGCCTAAAAGGCCTCCCTGTCAGATTTGACAGGTGATAGCCTATTTCAAATTGCCTGCCACAGGGGTGCGGGGAACCCAGCCCTAAGGGCTTATATTTCGTTGTTTGTCTTAGAGCGAGAGAGAGAGAGAAAAGATGAGAGAAGGGGGGGGGGGGNTGTTGTGTTCCGTGTCGGTGCAGCCTTTGTGATGCAAGCACAGATGATTGAACCCACCATACCGCAGCCTTAGGGTTGCGAATTCCTAGCCTGGCCCAATGAGCCAAAACAATGGGGCTGCGAGCACACAAGAGAGAGAGAGAGAGAGAGAGAGAGAGAGAGAGAGAGAGAGAGAGAGAGAGAGAGAGAGAGAGGACCACAATGGCTGCAGCGCCAGCCTAAAAAGAAATAAAAAGGTGGTGCTGGCAGTTTGGCAAAGCTTGGCGCGCAGGGCAAGCATCAATAGCTGGGCAATTGCCGCGACGATTTATTTCACTGTTGAAATGTTTTTTTTTTTGTTTTTTTTTTTCCTTCCATATTTTCCCCCGAAAGATCACAGCAGAATCTGTGGGCCCCAATTTTCAGATTTTTCCACACGTTCTTCTGTGCACGAATAATCACCGAAGTTGTACTTTTTCTGTTGGCCCACAGATGGCAGAGTGACACAGCGATGATTTCACAGTTGATTTGTTCTTAATAAATTTTCTGATATTTTTCCTGGACAGATCATGACCTAATATACGAAATGACATTTAATTTTAAAATGTCCTCACAAACAACCGCTTCAGTTCAACGATCCCACATTAACAATATTGCATTAGCCTCCAGTCAGAGATCCACCAACAAACTGTTTTTTTTTTTGTTTCTCTCAGTTCATTTTTTTTTCCCCCCTCTCTTAATTTACTTTCTACTTTCACTTTTCTTTAATTTAGAATAAATCCAGTCCACTAACATGCTATACAGAAGTACTATAATTGCAGGGCCTAGCTCAGTTGGTAAGGCATGGAAGTTGCACCCAGGAGGTTATGTGTTCAATTCCCTTTGGCCTCATGTACCTTCCTGGGCATGCTTGGCACCCGTCACCTAGAGATAGCCCGTTGGTCCCCCGTATCAGCACTGGACGGAGATTGATGATCGTAGGGGGAGGGGATCGGAGGGGAGGCACAGCGACTGGCCCATCGAAGAAGCTCGGTCCTGATGCTACCGGCTGACCCCTGGCCGGTATCGCCCATCTGCAGGTCGAGCGCAGCCCCCCCATGGTCCCTCGTTGGAGGATTGAACAGGCTGGCTGCTAACCCGTAATACTGTTGTGAGGATTGAGCCCTCAAGAAGGGGCCTTGCCATGATGTACATGTTCTGGGCTAAGGCCCGAGCAAGCCTAGTGCCCGCCCTAAGTGAAGGCGGGCCGGCAAATCAACAAGAGCCCTCTGTGCAAACATTTCCCGAAGTGGGGTCCATACAGTTGCAGCACGCCAGTTGGTTGGAGTGCACCGAGTCTTGAATCTCTGCAAATGTGGAGATCCCAGGGGCTCTGAGTTAGTTAGGCCCTGGGCAATTGAACGTGAGGCCGACAATGCATGCTGAGGATAGAGGCCGAAAATGCCGAAGGGAAATCGGCCCACTATCTGAATCTGGCCGCAGGCCTTGATGAAAGAGGCGCAACTGCATTGCCCCGGGCCCCAACTGTATCGGGCTGGGTTCAGCCACTGGGGCCCGGTCGCAGGCTGAAGGGAGGCCGCCCACACGCAACACTGGCATATAGGCAAGCAGGGCAAGTGGGCAGGGATCTTGGCCAATGCAGGCATTGCGGGCACGCTGCGCGAATGCGAGGTGCTGCGCTGCGCTGGGATGAGACAGGCTAGCGCTAGGCGGTAGGGCGCTGCCTGTGTACTGGGCGCTTGGCGGCCATAGCCGGGCTGCGTAGGGCGCAGGGGAGTTGAGGGCGAAGGTGGTTCTTCGGAGGTGAAGGGCGCTGTGTGGGTAACAAGGGAGAGTGTGGGTGAAGAGGACACGTACCTGGTGGAGGTAGAGGTCGGCATTGGTGTTGACATCATCACTCGCTGGTAGTCAAGTTGTCTGGTTGCTTTCATTGCTGTAGTTGTAGGCTTAGTCTGTAGAGTAGATAGGGCGCCTCGCGCCATTCACAAGAGAGAGCTACATTGGGTTATGCTGTTGGTGTTGCCCTGTTGGGCTTGGACATTGACTCACGATTCTTCTGTATCATTCTCAAATGGATGGTTACTCGGTTCCATTGTGCTATCTGCTCTGGCTTTGACTACTTGGACTTCAGTGTGATTTTGCATTCTGGATTTCTGTGCTTCGTTCATATTCATGTTCCTTGCAATTTGGTATCGGAGCTGGTTTGATTCGCCACTTACCTCTGGCACGCTGGCGTTATACAGACTTGGTGCGTTGACGATGCTTCTTCGCAGTTGGTACTTGTGACGTCAGGCCATATATAGGCGCACGCCCTGGGTAGAGAGGGGTGCGCCGGAAGGCTAAGACGACAGTGTATGCCGTGGTGACAGGCGGAATGTATGATTGGTGATGAGAGCATGCTGATGTGGCATTCGGCTGAGGTGGCACTGCGTTACGTTGTGGGTGGTACCGAGGCCAAGACCGGTCATCAAATGCACACTCAGCTCAATTGGTGAGAAATCTGTGGTTGGGGGCAGCTATCTCCAGGTACGTTGTTCCCTTACCTTATTTACTCTCTCAATCTCTTCTTACCGTGAGGAAGCGAGTCCAACTTGAGAGTCCTCTCTTTTGGTGAGGTGTCGTGAGCGCGCTACCTTGAGATACGACAATCTTCCCGGAAGCATCTGGAAGGAGAAAGGGCGGTGCCTCTAAAGGGCCCTGGTCGAAGCACTGGGTCACGGTCACCATGCCAACCCAATGGGAGTAGGTCACGCATGCGATGACTGCTTTCCATTATGGCACTTGCTGCGCTAAATAGAATTCCTGCCGGGTGTGCCAACCTTTTATGAGACGCTTACCAGACCGTCTATAAACATTTCTGGTTGGGGACTCTGATTGATTCTGGCTGTGATCGTCATCCTGATTGTGACGTTAAAGAATTCCTGAAGAGATGGGGGCGCTCTATAAATTCCTCCTGATCAGCCAGATCAACCGGTGTTAGACTCGTTTCCGTACGAGGGTAAATAAGAGTGGACTGGCTGGCTTGCTCGGCTACGACTTGGGCACAGGGGTGGGCCGATACACACACGAAGACACTGCTCGCTCAATGATGCTTACCGGTATGTTGGATTGAGGGGAAGGGTAGGTTCTAATTGGTGCTCAATTGTATATACAACCATACCCACTCATCATACATCTGCTATATGGTCTTTTTGGATTCTTGATTAGTTGGTGGACAGACTGCTAACACCTCACAAACAGATTAGATTAGGACTGTTGTATGCTACCATAGCCAGTTCTGTCTAATACTGCTGTAAGTGAACCAATCAGAGTACATCTAGACTATGTAGACAATCTGTTGTGAATGTTGTAGACATGCCACTTGATCGGTACAGTAGGGAACCTGCCGAACACAACTATTTTTAGAAAATTAGGTGCCGGTCAGACACATGCTGTGGTAGGATTCCACTAGGGGATTCTAGTGCAGATACTGTCTGCCTAACTGATGAGCGGAACAAATCTTGTTGAGGATATAGTTGACAATAGGAGACTAACACGTGCGGAAGCACTTAGGGCCCCGCACGTGTTCCAGGCCCTACAACCGGGAGACGAAAGACAGCTTATAGCCGAACGCAGAGCAGCAGCTAGGGCAACAGCGAACGCCGCAACTAGGGAACAGGGGAACAGGCAGCAGCAGCAGCCAGGGCATTAGCCATGTCTTCTGCAACAGCAGTATCCTCGGTTGCGTCTTCGTCTGGGACCAATGGGACTCAGTTGGGAATGCCAACAAGTTCCACGGGCACTTCCAGTTCAATGGGTACTCGACAGTCTACTAATCAAATGGCGGGCTCGCAGTTCAGCCCGTTGACCCCACGTGAGAGGGAGCTCAGAGAGATCCAACAGGTCGAAAGGCTCCGTGAACAGTTAGAGAGGGATCTGAAGAAAGCAACCGATAGAGAAAGAGAGATGAAAAGTAGAGCAGCCAGGCTTGATACTTCAGAGGCTGACAAGGCTGAGTTAGAGGGCTTGGATGAGTAAGCATTGTCTGACCAAATGAAAACACTGAAGAAGAATATGCTGTCGTTGCATGCACACGTGGACAGCAGATTAGACTTCATGCAGAGCACTCTAGACCAGATTCTAGATGTATTGACAAGGCCAGGATTCAGGCAACCAGCACAATCGCCGTTGCCGTTATCGGCGATGTCAGGCCCATTTCCAGTTCAAGCTGGTACACAGCCAAGTGGTACGTCTGCAGCAGTCGCACAGACTGTTGCATCTTCTTCTTCGGGTCCAGCGGTGGGAGCTACACCACCGCAACAACCTGTCCCTCAACAGGGACAGCCCCAAGGTACCCCAATGGAACCGCCTCTTGCCTTCTCAGGCGAGAGAAAGGACGAAGAGCTCAACACTTGGTTGAGGACGGTCCCGGTTTGGTTGAAGGCCAAGAGGACCTCGTTGGAGGACAAAGTGGTTACCGCTGCATCTTACCTCGAGGGTGAGGCAACCAAGTGGCTAGATGGTGTAGTTGTAAAAGCTGGGTACGGGCGACGCATGGCGGACTGGGCTAAGTCTTTAACGTTAGACCAGTTCATGGAAATGGTAGAAGCTCGATGGCATAATCCACAAGAGGCGCAAAAAGCCACTGATGCGATTAACAGACTAGACCAACAAAAGTTTAAGTCGGTCAGAGAGCTTACGACTACCGTTGAGAGCCTGATCCTTGTTCCTGGCATCAACTACAGTGACCAGTTCCTGTTAACTACGTTTGTTAGATGTCTTCCAGAGAGCACCAGGAACTTGCTGGCCAGCGAGGCACGCACCAAGTACCATTCGTTTGAGACGTTGTCTAGGAAAGCCTTAGATTTGGAGGCCACTCTAGGCAATGCTCAACCCTCTCAGAGTGACACGAAGAAGAAGAAGAGTCCTCAGGAGTGGAAGAAGAAGGGGGCTAAGTTGATGATGGTTGAGTCCGATGGGACTCAGACGGAGATCGACGAGCTCACTGACCTGATGGACTACTCAGAGTTCGACGGAGAGGAGACCGCTGAGGGTAGCACCCTCGCTGCAGTTGTAAAGGCTAAGGCAGGTGGCCGAGGGAAGGGCCAACCAAAGAGTCAAGGGAAGACCGCCTCCGACCAGACCAAAGTGGCTGATTGGGTGAAGGCAGGTCTTGATCAAGACGTGTGGCGTGACCGCCGAGTGCGTGGCGCTTGTATCAACTGCGGGGAATACGGTCACTCACAGTACAAGTGCCAGAACGCAAAGGTTACGCAAAAGATACCTCCAAAGATAGGGGCATCTTATTCCCAGGCTTCTAGCTCGGGAAACGCGTGAGGCCAGTGGAAGTTTTAGCTGCTTCTACTCTTGGTGAAGTGGGCCAGATACCCTCCCCACTTCACGAGAAGGCCAAAGCCAATGACTCTTTAGTCACCCCGCAGACTCATCTAGACCAAACTATGCTCTGTACGTTAGATGTGTCTGATGCCTTAGGAGACTTGGAGAGTGAGTGGTCAAACAAGGACCCTTGCAAGTCGTGGGTGGCGCTAAGGAAAGGTCCTAGAGGGGAACATTTCGTGGTGGAAGTCGATGTAGGAGGCTGTGGAGCCTTCATAGACATAGGCTCCATGCGGAATTACATAAGTCGCGACTGTTTGGAAAGGCTGCACCTACAGGACCGGGTACGGCACCTTAGTAGACCTGTAGCATCTACTTTGTCAAACAAGGAGCGCATGATAGTAACAGACTATATCAAGGACGTAGTCTGTACCTTCTCCTATGGAGGAGGAGAACTTAATCATAAGATTTCGTTCTTGGTTAGCGACAACTTACCATTCGACATGTTGTTAGGCATGTACTACCTCGAAGTTGCTAGGCCCCAGTTCGACTGGGATAAGAAGGTGCTCAAGCATAAGTTGCCCGATGGCCGAACTGTCAGATTGACTAAGTTCAAGGCCAGTAGTATTATAGATACCTATGGCTGCCTGTGTGCATCAGCGTTCTACAATTACTACAAGCAAAACCAAGAGGAGGGTATGTACCTTGTGTATGTCTTTGAGAAAGGGGAGGCCGTTAAAACACCCCCAGAGATAGAACACGTCGTTGCTAAGTTCCCTGATCTGTTCGAAGAGCCTACAGGGGTCGTAGAAAGGGAAGTTGTCCATGCTATAGAAATCATTCCAGGGAGTAAAACCCCAAAGGGAAGGATCTATAGGATGGCTCCCGCCGAGTTAGATGAACTCAGGCGACAACTGAAAGAGCTGACAGAGAAGGGATGGATTCGGCCTAGTACTTCCCCTTACGGATCACCCGTTCTATTCGTACCAAAGAAGGGGGGTACATTGAGGATGTGCATTGACTATAGAGGCCTCAATGCCATCAGTGTGAAGAACGCAGAGCCTCTACCTCGCATAGACGACCTACTGGATAGGGTGCAGGGATGCAAGTACTATACAAAGATAGGCTTGAAATCCGGCTATCATCAGATCGCTATAAGGCCTGAGGACCAACACAAGACAACTTTTCAGACTTGTTATGGTCTGTATGAGTTTGTAGTGATGCCTTTTGGTCTTTGTAACGCGCTGGGAACATTCCAGCATGCTATGAATCGGATCTTCCTTGACCATTTAGATAAGTTTGTCGTGGTATACCTTGACAACATTCTGATCTTTAGTAAGTCTGCCGAGGAGCACACACAACACGTTGAGACGGTACTTTCACTTCTTCGACAACACAAGTATAAGGTCAACTTAGAGAAGTGTGAATTCGGTTCCACTAAGATATTATACTTGGGTCATGAAGTATATGCGGAGGGGATTAGGCCAGAAGATGCGAAGGTGGCTAGTATTCGAGACTGGCCACGACCTCAGACAGTCACTGAGGTCAGATCATTCTTAGGAATGTGCGGCTACTATAGGAACTTCGTTAAGAACTATTCTACAGTCGCCTCTCCTTTGACTGATCTAACTCGACTTGACACGCCGTGGGACTGGAGTGATGAGTATGAGGGTGCTTTCAAGAGATTGAAGCATGCACTCATGAATCATGAGGTCCTCATGGTTCCTGATCCTCAGAAGCCATTCATAGTGACCACTGACACAAGCCAATATGGCATTGGCGCGATGCTGGCTCAGCAGGATAAGAAAAAGTTGAGATCGATTGAGTACATGAGCAAGAAGATGCCATCGAAGAAGTTGGCAAAGTCCAGACCCTCAAATGGATCAAGACTAAACCGGCTCTTTCTGACGCACTCAAGCGATGGATTGAGGCCATAGACCAATATGACTTCAAGCTTGAGTATCTGAAGGGAGAGTATAACAAGGTTGCTGATGCGCTATCACGTAGAGCAGACTACCTAGGTGCGCTAGTTTCTGACTTTGGCGTATCTGAAGAAGTAACTCAATCATTGGTGGGAGCCTATCAGGAAGACCCTGTCACGATGGACATCATGCGCAAACTTCAGGCTGAAGACAAGGCCACAGAAAGTGAGTTTGTGATGGTGGACGGGTTACTCTATCTTGATAAGGCCGGAATAAAAAGATTCGTAGTTCCATCTAGTGAGCGATTGCGTAGTTTGTTTTTAGGCGAATGTTATGACACAACTGGGCACTTTGGCTACAAGAAGACGAGTGCTAACCTAGTACAACGATTTTGGTGGCCAGGAATGTTAGATCTATGAAACCGCGCGTTCATTGAACGCGGGTTTTCCGTTCAGAAATTGAACGGAATGCACGCGCGTTCAATGAACGGGACCGAACGCGGAGTTCAATTCCGCCGGGGGGGGGGGGGAAGACAAAAAAAAAAACCTCAAAAAATTCCGAAAAAAAATGTTATGAAGAACAATAAAATAAACAACATTTGCCTGAGCATTACATCTAAATTCGTTAACAAATTGGAAAAAAAAATAGAAAACAGAAAATAAGAAAAGTAAAAAAAGAATTGAAATTAGTGAGCGAACACGATTTGACACCGCCATCTTTGGCGATTTTTCATTTTTTTTGCCTTACCAAAATGACTCCAAAATTGAGAGGCATGTACCTCACATCATACAGAACTCATAAAAAAAAAATCAGAAAAAAAAATTATTTTTAGGTATTAAAATGATTTTTTTTTTAATAAAAAAATAAAAAAACAATTGAACGCCGTTCAATTTTGAACGCGAACGCGCAATCCGCGTTCAAACGCACATTTGAACGGGAACGCGCGTTCACGGCGTTCAAACGGTTACACAGTGTTAGATGATGCAAGTACGTAGAGACCTGTCAGGTCTGTCAGCGGGACAAGCCGCGAACTCAAGCACCGCTTGGGTTGTTGAAGCCTTTGCCTATTCCTGGTGGTCCAGGACAGAGTGTTTCCATGGATTTCATGGACACCCTGGTGACTAGTAAGAGTGGCAAGAGGCACATCTTCGTCATCATCGATCGATTCACCAAGTACGCTAGACTAGTGGCTATGCCAGAGACTGCAAGAACTGACTATGTCATCAAGTTGTTCAAAGACAACTGGGTGCGTGACTTTGGTTTACCAAAGTCAATCGTTAGTGACCGAGATGTCCGATTCACAAGTGAGCTGTGGAAGAAGATTGCGGAACAGATGGGCATTCAACTTCAGATGACTTCAGGGAATCATCCCAAAGCCAACGGACAAGCCGAGCAAATAAACAGAGTCGTACAACACTTGCTGAGGCATTACATCAAGCCCAACCAGGATGACTGGGATGAGCAGTTGCCTCTCATCGCCAGCTTGTACAACAATGCAGCCCATAGCAGTACCGGCGTTAGTCCCAATCAGCTACACTTGGGATGGAAGCCTAGATCAGCATTAGACTTCCTCCTACCTGAAAACCGACCCGCTGCAACTCCAGGCACACTTGAGTATGGTGTGCAGTATGAGAAGTTGCTGCAAGAAGGTGTCGAGCACATGAAGAAAGCTCAACAAGCAATGATTGCTTCTGAGAATCAACACCGTAGACAGTCCACATATTAGGTAGGGGAACGTGTCTGGGTCAAGGCTAGTGAGTTAGGACAGGAATTCGGAATCTCTCGCAAACTAATGCCTCAGTACTTTGGTCCCTGGGAGGTCCTGGATATAATGGGAGATGAGATGGATGGCCCCACATATGTCATTCGTGTCCCTGGACACCTATGCACTCACCCAATCTTTCATGCCTCAAAGCTTGCACCTTTCGCTGAGACAGATCAATTCCCTTCCAGGAGATCGATGCTGCCCCCAACCATGGATGGTCAAGTGGACATCGACGACATTGTGGATCTCAGGGATATGCCTGTTCCGAAGCCGCTGGGTCGAGGAAGACCTCCTAAACCCAAGAGAGAGTATCGCGTCAGATTCAGGCATCATGCGGATCAAAAGAAGATAGGTGGTTTACCAGAGAGGAACTGATTGAGACAGCTCCTCAGGTGGTGGCAGAATATGAGAGACTGCTGAAAGGGAAGGCACCTGCGAAGTAAACATCTCAGCGGACTTTCGAAGCTAAGGGGGATGGAATGTGAGGATTGAGCCCTCAAGAAGGGGCCTTGCCATGATGTACATGTTTTGGGCTAAGGCCCGAGCAAGCCTAGTGCCCGCCCTAAGTGAAGGCGGGTCGGCAAATCAACAAGAGCCCTCTGTGCAAACATTTCCCGAAGTGGGGTCCATACAGTTGCAGCACGCCAGTTGGTTGGAGTGCACCGAGTCTTGAATCTCTGCAAATGTGGAGATCCCAGGGCCTCTGAGTTTGTTAGGCCCTGGGCAATTGAACGTGAGGCCGACAATGCATGCTGGGGATAGAGGCCGAAAATGCCAAAGGGAAATCGGCCCACTATCTGAATCTGGCCGCAGGCCTTGATGAAAAACGTAACTGCATTGCCCCGGGCCTCAACTGTATCGGGCTGGGTTCAGCCACTGGGGCCCGGTCGCAGGCTGAAGGGAGGCCGCCCACACGCAGCACTGGCATATAGGCAAGCAGGGCGAGTGGGCAGGGATCTTGGCCAATGCAGGCATTGCGGGCATGCTGCGCGAATGCGAGGTGCTGCGCTGTGCAGAGCTGCGCTGCGCTGGGATGAGACAGGCTAGCGCTAGGCGGTAGGGCGCTGCCTGTGTACTGGGCGCTTGGCGGCCATAGCCGGGCTGCATAGGGCACAGGGGAGTTGAGGGCGAAGGTGGTTCTTCGGAGGTGAAGGGCGCTGTGTGGGTAACAAGGGAGAGTGTGGGTGAAGAGCACACGTACCTGGTGGAGGTAGAGGTCGGCATTGGTGTTGACATCATCACTCGCTGGTAGTCAAGTTGTCTGGTTGCTTTCATTGCTGTAGTTTTTGGCTTAGTCTGTAGAGTAGATAGGGCGCCTGGCGCCATTCACAAGAGAGAGCTACATTGGGTTATGCTGTTGGTGTTGCCCTGTTGCTGTCTCTTATACACATCTAGATGTGTATAAGAGACAGCACACACACACACACACACACACACACACACACACAGAGGGAGCTGTACCTTTTTTTGTTTTGATCTGCTTCGACAGAAAAGCTTGATGCCTTGTTTTTCACGTCAGGAATGTGGGACTAGACTTCCAACTGAGATGTGCACTTATGAAATTTTCATCACTACCCAGGAAAAGAAGGACAAAAAAAAAAGAGAAAAAAGAAGAGAGAAAAAAGAAAAAAAAAAGGTTGGTGCCTTTGTCCATTGCCTGGGTGGCGAGGGGCGCCTCCGACGGCGCTGGTTTGCGATCATGTATGTTGTGCCGCCGGTCAGAGTCATTCAAGCGCTGCGTCCGACCGGCCCGTTGAGTGGTACCGTGCCGCCATGGCACGCAGTTACCACGGTGAAAGTGGCTCGCCAAGGTTCCCCATAGCGGCGTGAATTACTCACGCTCGCGTCGTTTCACCTGACAGCCATGGCCATGACCTCTTAGAAGTCACTGCAGTGAGATTGAACCAAGCTCAGCGTGATTCCATGTGAAAGTGATCTCCATAGCAACTCCTGTGCGGAGATGCTGGTTCCATGGTAGTTCACCGAGCCTTGTCGATCTGCCAGCCTTCGGTCTCAGCAGAGGCGGTGATCTCATCGAGACTTCAGTCCGACCTGGAAGCATGTTCATCAGCTTTCGAAGACGACATTCACGCTTTGGGTAACACTCTCCGCCAATGAATGAGAGCCTGGCACTTTCTCACTTTGGGTAGAGCAGAGCGGTGAAAATCGCCTTCGGTGTGCCCAACTCGCTTCAGAATCTGGGGGAGACTTGTACTGTGGGGATGTAGATGTAGAATCGTAGATGGATGTGCAGGCTTCCGTATTGGTCGTATGGCATTCCTCTTGTAGATTGAATTTCAACTCCCTACTTTCTTGCTTGATTGTCGAAATAGATAGTCTTGGAAATGCCCTAGTCGAGCACCAGATCCTTGCACCAGTCGTAGTGCGCCACGCTCTCCTTGCTACCTCATAAGCACACTGCAAAGGGGATAAGCACGTTGAACATACCAGAAGCGGATACTCTACCCCGCTTCATTCTGGGGTATAGTAGGGAACTATATTCTTGGCGTTGCGTAGAGGCGCTTTGGGATGTTTACTACTTTGTAATGCTGGTACGTGGGTAGTGTATACTTGCAGGCGCTCAGTGCTCGGCATGTAATACAGTGGAAATATAGCTGTATATCTCTTCGGTCTGGTGCACTATTGTCATTCACATGTGTGTCTGCTGAGAGAGAGAGAGAGAGAGAGAGAGAGAGAGAGAGAGAGAGAGAGAGAGAGAGAGAGAGAGAGAGAGAGAGAGAGATTTGCGACATTGGGATTTG